CCCCAGTTAACGACAGAAAGTACATCGTTTTTGTCTAGGGAGATAAGTGGCCAGATAATAAGGAGTGATGTGCTCGCAGACATTGTCTGATGGCCATGAGTAGGTTTTCATGCTTGTGTGGCATGGTGCAAAGTCCTGTTGCCAGCAGCCAGCTTCTTGACCCTGGGCAGAACTACCTCCTCAAGGCACTTGATATAGGCCCTTGTTTTGAATCTAAGGCCCTGTGGGAAGATGAATGAAGGCATAATATCGCAATCACTAGTGATCACTCCGAAGACTATGATCTTGAATGAATATAGCATTCAACTCTTTCCGAATCCTCTGCAAGTTTTCCGAGATGTAGTACCAATTAATCACCATTAAAGTCATCCAACTCTTCCTGAATCCTCTGAACTGTCCTCAGATTGACACCCACACACTTTGAAATGTTCGTATTGGTGTTTCCGGCGCGAATGCCAAGCAGTACAATATATCGTTCCCAAGTTTCTGGCGGAGTGAATTGCTTCATAGTGCTCTTTTTCTTACAGACAGTACCAATTGACCTTATTATACTGTGCAGTCGACAAAATCAAAAACAAACCACGCGCATGCGCGAAATTAAAAATATAAAACGGCAACAATAGCCATCGCAACCTATATATAACAGCCAAGTATCCGAGTACATTTATCTGTTAGGTGACTATTCTCTTCCTGTAATACAAACCTCGACGGTTCTTTCTAGTCAATTTAACTCATTGAGGGAGGAACTCAATGCTTTTAAGGTAACTGTGGCGCATGCTGGGGTCGTCTCCCCAGGCCGATAACATCAGGAAGTAACCTTCCCTACAAATCGACCATGGTGAAATTTCAACCCGGGTCATATGGTTGGAAAGCGCCAGTGTATTTTTATCATGCAATCAGTTACAAAGTAAACACATTTTTCTCGTGTTCCATTGGCAAGAAGTAAGTTCAGCAGCTTCTTCTCAAGTACCACTGCTTTGTGAACAGACATTCGAGACGATTCCTTTCGGAGGACGCATATTTTCTATGTAATTTCTCTGATATTCAGGCCAGCAAATGTTGATAATACTGTTTAATATAAACAGAGCAGTTGGTTTAATATTTGTGCCTATATAAATAATGTATTTCAATAATATATATATATATATATATATATATATATATATATATATATATATATATATATATACAAAAAGAGTTAATCATACGTTGAATCAATTAGCAATATTAATGCAATTATTGGCGAAATCCTTCGCTAGTAGACATAATTATAAGCATTATACTACAACTAATCCACTGAATGATGAGATCCTTATGTATAATATATATATATATATATATATATATATATATATATATATATATATATATATGAAATGTTTCCTTTACTGTGTCCAAAAAGAAAACACTTGCTTGAACACAAGAAGAATTAAATAAAAAGGTTAATCGCGGTAACCTGTCTGTCGTCTTTAATGAAAAATGTATAAATGAGGGATTATTGCCTAAATACACACAGGCAATATATATATATATATATATATATATATATATATATATATATATATATATATATATATATATATGAACCGAACATCTAATCCATAGTACAGTTAACAAGGATCGTGTCGTTTAGCGAGTGGCCACTAAGTTAATGCATTCTTAATCTGTTAGCGAAGTGAAGTCACCATTAATTTCATTAACTTTATTGATTCATTCTTTAATGGCTATTTTATAATATTAATTAAGCCGCATTATGTGTTGGCCTTTGACAAAATAACTGTTCCATCATTATGGTGATTGACGTTCCATTTAAACTTTTGAAGATTGTCGATGGCATGTTAGCAAGAAACCGGAATATAATTCCACAGGCGAGAAGAGCGATAAAAGAACCTGTTAGAATATAACTTACATTGATATATAACTAGTTCAAGAGTAAAACTGTGAGATCTATTTGCCGGTCATGCCTAAATTCATACTGGGTCTTTCCAAATCAAGTAAAACTAACTGGAAAATGTAATAACAAACGATGGAATATATGAATATGAATATATGCAGTATTGCTTTAAGTGTTGCCACTCACGTGATTTTAGTTGCACGCTCTCGAAGTTTTCGGTCAAGGTGCTCCTAAACGTGCTCTACTGGATTCATGTCAGGACTTTCGGCTAGCCATGGTAGTGACGTGATTCCTTGCGATTCCTTCCAAGCCTTTGCTACTTTGCTCATATGACATGGCGCTCCATCTTCTTGAAAAAAGGTAGACATTCTTGTCAATCTGATTGGTTTCAGTTAGTGGGAGTAGTCCTTTCGCTAATATTTGACAGTATTTTGAGCCATTTAACCGCTCATCAACAAGAATTATCTCAGATTTCCCTCCATACCAAACAGCGCCCCACACGATTACTCCAATCCCTTCATATTTCACGGTCGCCTGCAGACATTCAATGTTTCAAGTCTCATTCTGATTTCTCCAACCATAAACCTGTCTCGAATTCGAATATTGGCAGAATTTACTTACATCTGACCAAATTACAGACTGCCAAAACTCATAATCATTCCTCCCGAATTCTCTCGCCAAGTCCATACGAAGGTTCTTGCTAACCTATGAAATCAAGAGCTTCTTTCTTGCAACTCTTATTTGATAACCTAAATCTTTCAGAGTCTTTCTCACCACATATGGCGACGGTTTCTGATTATTTACCTCTTCAGCTCCCTTTTCCTTCGCTCAGACACGATGCTTGATCTTCCTGAACGTTGGCCTTCTTCATTAAATTTATTGACAACATTATTAATCGTTTAATGATTAACCTAGCAATTTCTTTATTTGACTTGCCACACTGATGTCATCCTATTATTTGCCCTCGTTGAAATTCACCAATTTCCTTTCTTCCGCGAACTTTCATTGCAAGATATAAGTCAATTATCGTTCATAGATGAGAGTAGCTTGATACTAACACGGTATTGTCTGAAAAAAAGACGAGACGTTATTACACAAGCCAAAAACTGCTGTAATCAAGGGTGGCTAAAAACTTATCATAGCCCACTGTAGGTTTTAAGGAAGATGAGACAGAACCAGAAAGAGCTGCATTTGCAGGGTCAGGCAATAGGGGAAAACAGTTTGGAGAATTTACCATTGAAAATTTGACACTACAGTATATAAGTAAAAATTGTACAGTAAACAGCGAGTAACTTATTTAACTAACTTGTTTAAATGGTTTACAGAACTTGGGCATAATAAATAGATGGCAGAACAGAGAGTAGGAAAGAAAGCAAAAAAAAAAACCAACAACCATTGCTAAGAGCTACAATGGATAAGAAGTTGTGGAGAGCCACGATCGCCCACTCACTGAAGTGTCTCAGCACATAGAAGAAAAATAAGAAAGTTTAAGGTTAAACAGTTTTTTTCCGTATCGTGGATTCAATTAAAATGTAGGAAATGACGTGGTGTTGATTTGAAATATATTTGATATTTTTATTTCTTGGATTTATTTTCAAAACTATAACAGGTACAATAAAGATTTATTTGTTTTTGTTTGTGTATACGTTTGTGTGTGTGTGTATTTCGTAGGAATAGTTACACATGCGGCTTTCACAAACGATTTTTTTCTTTAAACAAGTGGGTGTCACCTGGCTTACAAGTAGTTGAGAATAATCTTGACAGATGCAAAATGCTAGAAAAATGAAAAAAAAAATCTCTAAGAAAACCTCTAAAACAAGAAACCAAAAATGGGGAAATCAATTTACTTCAATAATTCAAGAGACAAATGGCGGAGGAAATACCATTGGCAGAACTACTCAATATAGCCGGTCAGAAACCATATATGAAGATTACATCAAAGACAAGATAAGATAAGACAAAGCCGAATCACAAAGATATATCGTTCAATCATATAAGTGAATATAAGAAGGTAACACAGGCATATATAAAATGAATGAGTGGGAACGGGATCCACAGAGAATTACACAGCTGATGGAATTGTCTGTGAAGATTAATAAGACAGATAAGACAATTCAGTATGGAAATATCTCTCAATTATATTATAAGTGAATGTAACATGTTACCTCAGGAATATATTGGGTCGGAACAAAATTTTGTAGCCTTTTTTCAGTAGATAACGTTTGAACACGTGACATCGTTGCACACGTAACTGAAAGTTATGACATACATATTGTGAAAGATTTCACCTTGCTTTTCTATACGATTCATACGTGGATTGGACATTTTAAAAGATTTTACGTTGAAAATGAAAAGGAATTTTGTTATCTAACGCACCTTTTCAATGTTTTCAGTCTTCCTGCATCAATTAAGTAATTCGTTTTTATGACTTGTTCCAATTATTAACTGGGGCAGAAGATGTAGATTTATACCTTTCCCAAATCCATTTTCGTTTAAGTGAATATAACAAACACAACGGGAATTGGAACTCGATTCTCCGATTAACAATTCCGAGTCATTATCCATTACATCACCCGCACATCCATGCTTACAGCAACTGGTATTCCCAAGCGATCACCTATCTAGGTATTGACTAGGCTAGATGTTTAATTTCCGTGTTTCAACGGGATGTGTCCGTAAGCCTGGAGTACAATGAAATACACTTTTTTATATAGTAGTGACTGTATATTAAAGACTATACGTCTTACCTAATGGGGTAGGAAATGCATTTACATCACTAAAATAGACTAAAATGAAAAGCAATTTTGTTATGACGTACCTTTTCACTTTTTCAGCCTTCCTAATTCGATTTTTTATGGCTTATAAACTCTTTTCAGGTTACATAAAGCCAAAAAAATATTTTTGGATTTCAAGAATGTTTATGGCGATAATAATGATTTAGTGATACAAGTCTAACTAATTAATCCATACCTGGGGGGAGAATATGTGGATTCATACCTTTCTCAAGGGCATTTTCGCTGAAGTAACGAGCACAACGGGAATTGGAACTCGGTTCTCCGATTAACAATTCCAAGCCATTATCCAGTACCTCACCTGCACATACAAGCTTACAGCACCTGGTATTTCCAAGGGGTCACCCATCTATGTACAGACCAGGCTCGATGTTATTTAATTTCGGTGATTCTACGGGAACCGAGGTTTCAACGTGATGTGGCCGTTTTGTGAGGTTAACGAACACTCGTTGCCATTTTTGTAATACCAACGAATACTTGTTGTCACTTTCATAATAGTCGCTGTAGTAGAGACTTTGTAATCGCAGATACAACTATAGTAACGCCTTCAAATAACACTCACACTAATAGTACTTGTTCGATAATGCTCGCTCGAATACTAACCACCGAATAGTGATCCGAATAGTAATTTGTATTGTGAGATATTCACTAATCGCCCCACGCGGTCGAATGCAGCACAAGGTCGAGTTTATTATAGATTATCCGAGCCCACAGACCCAGGCAAAAATTCCCCGTAGACCCCATAAAAACGTGGTCGGGTAGCTGCTTACCACCCCAGAGGAGACCCTGCCCTTCGGCACAGCCTCGTCTGTGTTTCTTTCTGCCCGGATGCTGAGAGGTTGACAAGCACACTTCCGAAGTAATCCGTATCGTGATCACTTAGACGCCACGCTAATTCGCATATATACATTTTTTTTTACCATCACGTGATCGACTTATTCAAATGAGATCGCCTGTTTTTGCTCTCTGGTGATCTGTGTTCAAACTCCAGTGTCGGCATTTTTTGTATAGAAGTGACTGAATACGCAGTGTATTAAATAATATACTTCTTAACCCCACTAATATTCAACTACAACAGGGACTATATGCAATCAGAAAGAGAGACTTTCTAAGAAACATAATGAGGAAAGAGGGCATAGAAAAATCAACATTCCTAGAACATAACGTTGGTATGAAATCCGTGGTAAACAACGACTGACCTAATTCATGAGTTTCTTTGTACAGATAGAAGAACAAGGCCAAAGAGTGATGATGAAAGGTAAAAAAATACTGATATATATATATATATATATATATATATATATATATATATATATATATATATATGTGTGTGTTTTCATTAAATAATATACACAGGTGTTGTCTATTTATTTTAATGAAAATTATTTTCATAACGTCTGATAATAATAATGTTATTACATTATTATTAAACGAAGAAAGAAAATCACAATATTGATCATATTTTTTAATCCAATGTAAGCTTTCGGCTTACATAAGCCATTATCAAAGATGTCAATTACTGTACAACATATTAAGCAATATACTTGTCTATAAAAATTTACTGAATCAGAGAAAAGAAATAGCTATTATATGCCGTCATTGTCAAAGATTTTCCTTAAATAATATTTAAAAAAAAAAATGGTTACTTAATTTCACTGATTTAGTAAACTTTTATTTTATATATAAACCTAGTAATATATTGTTTCTCATGTAAGTACAAAGGACATGGGTCATTCAAAAGCTTGCATCTTATGGTATTTCATATTAATTTTATTTTACTATAGGTGTTTTTATTGGATTCTTTTAAGTGCGTGTAGTACTAATTAAAAGAAGTTTAGGTTAGAATTCATTTTATTTAACTACAATTTTAATTACAATTTTAAAATTACAACTTTAAAATTTTAAAATATTTTCATTGTTAGTTTTAATAGACTATATTACTTTATAACAGAAGGAAAATTACTCATAGTAAGTATAATTATTTTTCCCTATCAAAGGATATGTAAATTACGATTTTTAAACTTTTATAATTAAATATTATTTAAGTAATATTTATGACACTTACTACAAAACTAGTTAAGTCTTTTCTCAGATTTAGTAAACTTTATTTATTAATTAATTAATTTATTTATTTTAAATATATATAACCTAAGTAATAAAGTTTCATATGCATGTACAAAGAACATGAGTCGTACACTACCCTACATCCTCTAGCTTTTGTTATAATTTCATTTTTCAGTAGGTGTTTTATTGGATTCATTTACGTGCCTGTAGTACATTTATTATAGAGGTGTTTCGGTTAGCATACATTTTATTTAACTACAATTTTTAAAAAATGCTTAGGTTTGAATTCGTTTTAACTACAATTTTAAATTTTAAAATTTTAAATACAAGTTTAAAATATTTTCACTGTTATTCCAATAGACTTTTTCCTTTTTTTTTTAAATATTATTTAAGGAAAATTTTTGACAATGACGGCATATAATAGCTATTTCATTTCTCATATTTCAGTAAATTTTTATTTTTTATAAACTTAGTAATATATAGTTTCTCGTGTATGCATAGAGGACAAGAGTCGTTTAATGACCTACAAATTCTAGCTTTTCTTATTAACTTCCATTTTACTGTAGGTGTTTTATTTGATTCTTTTAGATGCCAGAAATATTTTGAGAGAGATGTCTGATTTTTATATCTATTTATTCTAAATGAAGTTTGATGTTGTTTGAATCTGTTTTTGAATTCATGGCTAGTGCAACCTATATATATTTTTATGCTATCAGGACTTTCAATCGAAGAGATATTACATTGGTATACTAATGATTCAGTGCGACATTTATTTTGTAGTGGGCAATTTTGAGGGTTTCTACAGTTACATAGTTTTTGTTTATTTCCATCAGTTTTTATCTTAATTTTTCCATTGTCTAAACTTTTTTGGTTTTGGTATAAGTGTTTATTTAAGATATTAGCATTATGGTTCTTAATGATTTTTTCTAAGTTTTTTGTACAGCTATAACTCAATTTTAGTGTGTTTTTATTGAAAATAGTACTTAGTTTACTTTCACTAGGAAAGTGCTTGACTATTAATGCGAGGAATTTATGTCCTAATTTGTTCTTTACCATTTGGTTATATGGGGGAGTATACCAAATAATCTTTCTACATCTGTTTTTTCTATGCTTTCCTTTTTCATTTTTTATATAAGTTAGTTTTGGGTTTTTGTAGCCACTATCTTTTAGAGCCTTATTATAGGAATTGATATGCTCATCGAAAATCTTGTCATTTGCTGAATTTGTACTAATTCGTTTACTGATAGATAACGGTATATGTTTAATTATAGATGGGGGTGATTTAATTTAGGATGTATATATAAAGGATTGGTGTTGGGTTTTTTATAAGGTGTGTATGTATTTTTATTTAGATCTAATGTTATATCTAGGAAGTCTACTTTTTTAATTTAGTACTAACCGTAATTTTTAAGCCCATGCTTTTAAATTATTTATATAATAACTTTCTAATTCTATCTATTTTGAAGTTCGTTGAGTTTCTAATAACCATAAGCCCATCGTCTCTGTACAAACCAATATCATCTGTATTAATATCATAGTGCGCTGTAAGGTTGTATAATATAAAAAGGCCAATGAGATCAGAAGACTCAGTTGAGTCTAGTGATCCCATTGTGATGTCAAATTGGTCGTAAGAATTCTTAATCCATTCCTCACCTTTATGTATAAGTACTGATTTTTTTGCATACAGAATAATATTCCTTTCTCCATCTGTTACATCCGTATAGTGGGTGGCAAAGTCCAACCCATTGATAAATAGTTCTTTGGAAAATGGTTGGTAATAATTATCAATATCAAATTGTATTAATGTATAATTGTTTTTTCCTTTTAATTGAGTAAACCAGTTTATCACTTCCTTGGTATTAATCCAAAGTTTGAGGCTAATTTTTTCTTTAATTTGTTTATTTACCCTTTCAAGGATGATTTTACTTATTTTTCCTATCTCCTGTCTTGTGGGATTAATTATCCTTGTAGTGGATATATATATATATATATATATATATATATATATATATATATATATATATATCTGAGGATATATGATATTATGATTACTTACATTATTTACATTATTCAGACTGTTATCCTCGATTTCATTGCCATATTCATCACGTTTCGACCGTTGTGTGCTCCGGCCTTCTTCAGGTGATTGGAATTTGGAACTGACATATGACCACGTAGATAAAGACGTTGGTTAGATTCAGTGCCTAGAACTAGATTGTGTGCTCAATACGAGGCCACAGTAATTGTGAACGAAAACTTGGAGAGTTGAGTTAAAGGGAAATAAGTGAGACATACGGAAGAGACACGGTACGTAGAACTAGAGCAATGTACCTCGGTGGACGAAATATGTGTTCGGTTGAAAATTCCAGTCACCTGAAGAAGGCCGGAGCATACAACGGCTGAATAATGTAAATAATGTAAGTAATTGCCGATAGAGTTGCGAGACAGGGAACCATAGTCATCTACAGCCTTAAACGTCTTGACACATACTGTACCTGACTCACAAGCTTACACGTTTAAACTCGATAGATAAAAGGGTACACGCAAAGATGAGATTCGGGACCTCGTACCAACGATCAATTGTTTTATTACCATGAAAATTCAAACTGTCGCCGGAGCTATATAATATTGTTTCTCCTTGTGAATCCTGGATAATTTCTTCACATTTCAATAGAAGAGTTGATGCGACAGAAATATAAATCTACAGAATGATTCTGAGAATACCTTGGACGAAGCGGGTAAGCAACAAGTACGTTTTAGAAAAAATAGTAAGAAAAGTCACTTATATGGAGGATTGAAAGAGACAGTTGAAAATTTTGAGGTACTCACTGAAGCAAGACGTCTTGGTAAATTTGATACTCACAGGGCATATTGAAGGCAAAACGGACAGGTAGAAACAGCAGAAAACTACATAACGAACGTGTGTAAATAGATGGCAGAACAGGGCAAAGAGGGGTAGTAAATAGACAAACATTAATAAGAGCTACAAAGAATAGGAAGTTGTGAAGAGCCATGGTCACCAATGTTCTGAAGGGACATTGCCCATAAAAAAAAAGATGTCTGATCATCATGAGAGTAAAAAAGACATAAAAGAGGTGTGGATCTTTAAAAAGAGAACACTGCCAACTCAACATGTAAGCCTGCCATAACTTATAATGGATCCAACAAATACTATCAAAATGAAACCTAAGAAAATATAATCTCTCTTTTACCCTTCGAGCCAATCGAAAGATCTCTTAATTAAAAAAAAATAATTAAAAATACTGCGAAGAAATGGAATAAGATGACTTCATCATATTAATTTATATGTGTGTGTCTATGTGACCCCCAACAGAGCTGCTTTCTAGATGATTCGATTTCAA